TCTTTCCCCTACCATCAAGGCTTGAAGCCCTGAAGAAGGGCAGCACAATACAGTAACAAAGAAATACAGGACTGGGAAGGGGCTCCTGGGTCATCAAGTCCAGTCCACTGCTATTGCAGGTAATTATATCATATCTTACTATTCATAAACCAATCAAGCTTCATCTTAAAAGAAGTCAGGTGGGGTTTTTTTGCCCTGCTACTCCTGATGGGGCCTTTTGAAACCTTCTTCCTCCTACAACTAGTAAAGCTGCTTCTGATTCTCCCTCGCCTGAGCATCGTAGCAGCACCTCCCTGCACCTTTGTCTGTACAAATTCACCTTTCTTCAGTATGACATGGGGGACATCTTCATTGACAAGAGATACCTTTAAGGCCTACTACTGGTAAAGAAATGTCTATTTGTCACTACTGGGACATGACAGATGGATTTTTCTTTGTACTGCATAGTTGCTTTATATAACAGGTAAGCACTTTGAATTTGTTGCTCAAGGTGAACTCTGTTTCCCAGTCTCCCTTTGGAAATCTTCTACTCACAGCACGGGAAAACTAATGGAATTAGAAAATAATAATAAATGATACAGAGTCTGTTTAAGTGCACTGTGGGACAATAATAATAGAGCTATCTGTCTGCAAAGTGGTAGCAGGTTTTTACACCCTTCATATTGGTTTCCCATCGGAGGAGAAATCATTGGTGCAGCAGCAGGACATCATTTAAATTAAATTGGTCTATTTATATGAACCAAACCAGTCCATGAACAGAAGCAGTTGCACAAACAGCACGGAAGAAAAAAATCCACTTCCTGAAATCATTGCCTCAAATCCAATGCCTGTTTCCCATGAAACATCTTTACCCCAAAGAAGTGATCCAAATTAGAGATACAAAGCTGAAGAGCAAGCTCTCTGGCTATTTGCAACAGTAACCCGTCCCCCCCTCCAAAAAAACCCTGCATAAAATTAAAGACAATACAGCTTTACTTCAAAGACTGCATCCCACTTGCCTCCTAAGACAAAGAATTTGTAGGATTATTTCTAAAATCGCGAGCTGGTCACTTCTACCGCAGGAACAGAAATAAAAATTTGCGTTTCCACAGCATTTTCCTTCAGACAGTTGAAAAATAATTTAAAATATCATTGCAATGATTTCAGGCCTCTCTAGATAACACACACACACAAAAGGAACAGCGATCACAGCTTCTATCTGCCTCCATCTACAGGTCACCTTTAAATACTTAGGTCTCCATGCAAATTTCACCTGATTTAACTAAAATCAATTGGGTTAAACCAGGATGAATTTCTGCGGAGCTACTTATTTGGGGTTAAGAGCAGCTCAGTTTGATTTTGCCTAATCTGATGATTTAAAAAAAAAAAGTAAGCGCTCTTTAAATGAAGTGTGTCCATACACAAACTTGCCTCGGTTTAACGAAGTCACTTTGCAATCCCATTTAAGTGAAACCACTTCGATCTCTATGGGCAGACCAGGCTTAGGAGAGGCAGCATTTGAAAAGAGACTGATCTATGTTGCATCCATGACATACAATCTCTCCCTCCTGCCTTTCCTCTAAGGGTCCGTCCGTGGAGAGGCAAAGCAAAGAGACAGAGACGCACTGCTGGCGGAGGGGTGGGGGACAAGGCACTCGGGATTGCCCCCCGCTGCTGCTGGGAGAGAGAATTAGAAAGGAGAGTGCAGGGACTGGGGAGCGTGGAGATGACTTTTGATCCCCCGAGCGCTGGCAGAAGGCAACGCTATTCCTGGCCTGGCTTGTCCAGTGACAGCAGCAAGCTCCCGTCCCTGCTCCTTTCCACCTCCCTCGCCCAGCAGTAAGTTAGACTCCCGCCCTCACCCGGAGGAGTCGGTCCCCTCCCCTCGCTTCCAGCAGCTGGACCATTAGAGGAAGAAGCAGGGTCGACGTATCTCTTACTGTACCTGGTGCCGTTCTCAGCTAGGTGGCTGCCTCTCAGCGCCCTGGGTCTGTCCTGCTTGCAGATCTCCAGAGCAGTGACCCCATCCCCTGTCTTCAAAAAGGAAGTGGAGACAGGGGCTGGGGAAAGAAAAATATGATCTTAAAGGAAGGATCAGGGATCCGATCCCAGCTCCTTTTTTTTTTTTTCCTGTGTCAGTGTTTTATACAGCAATCAAGGCCAGACTGTAAACCCTTCACTCGCCAAGGAGAGTATGCTCATTGTACCTGGTGTATCTATATAGCAAAGGCCAGTCCTTGACCAAATGATAGGCAGGAAATCCCCCCCTTGTTGGAAACTCAACTTAATGCTAGGTTTCTGGGAGTAGCTCTGCACAAGGAGCGGGCTTGCATTACAAAATCAAAGGCAGAGACCAAACTCTCTTACTACGGCTTCCACCAAAAGAACCTGCATCACAAAATTAACAACGCATCATTGCCTCATCTTCAGTGGGACTTGCCATCCATGCATTCACTGGCGCGAAATGAGATTGTGCAACTGAGAGTGACATTTAGTGGTATACGTAGACTTTCCTAGTTCAGGACCCGACTGTAAACCCATTACTCACACTGCTGAGTTTACGTTGCATAGCTGGTCTTTCGCAGGTCAAGCCCATCTCTGCTCTATAAGACCCCAAATATTTACATGAGTGAGGGAGGGTACACTTTGCTTGCAGTTCAACGCGGCATTTATGTCAATTTTGGGGATTAATGTGCAATAGGTCTGTGCGAGTGGGCAGCTATTTGATCTGGCTTCGGATCCAGACACTTTGGATGCCAGGGATGTGATGCCAAAGCATCCGAAGCTTCTCCGGATCCGAAGCACGGTCCGAAGCCTCGCACAGCCCTAATGTGCAAGTCAGGGATTAATGTGCATCGGGGATGAACTAGGCTGGCAAATAACTCATTGCAAAGAACTCAGTTAGTTATTTGCAATGCTAATTCATTCCTGATGCAAATCTGTCACCTTCCCTGGAACTCCTCCAGGGATGGATATGGCCCGCTAAGACAGACAACTGAGGCTGGCACCAAGACACGAGCTCATAAATAGACAGTCAACAGATTTCAACAAAATGCTGTGCTACACACAATATAAACTTCCAAGCATTTCACAATATAAACTTCCAAGCATTTCTGTGAAAACCCATCTAAGGAAAAAAGAGCCATGACTTCCTTTCAGCACGGGCCCCGCTTTCTGCAGACATAAAGAAATCAGTTTATCCAAGAGTTAGCATCACCTGAAAAACTACCCAGTGCTCTGGGAAATATATGGATTAAACAAAATATGGGAATGGGAATGTATTGGCCAATGCATGTAGGCCAAATTCATTCCTGGTGCAACTCCACTGAAGTCCAGCAGTTAATTTACCCCTGAAAGATAAGACAGTGCCTGGCATTTCTGCACAGCGGAGTAGTCTCTGTGGCCGACAGTGCCCCTGGATCTCTTGGACACATACTGAGCGCTAACACAGCGCAGTCTCTCTCATGCAACAAATGTCACCAGGACAGGTGCTAAAAGGGCACTGGTCCAGGTGGCCCATTTGTTCAGAAACAGCTTTTAAAGGGCAGACATTTTTTTTTTTAACTTCAAACAGGCCCTATGCCAACTGAAAAAATTTTCTTTTGGGTAGCACCCCACCACAGCATTGCCACCCATTTCCAGAATGGCTGCGCACACACCGCCTTTGGTAAACTACTTCAGTGCTTTTGTTAAAGTGCCTTTAAAAAAGAAAAGAACCTCACCAAATTATATAAGGCAGAAAAACAGGGCTCGATAGACATGACTCGGCCATACATTGCAAAAAACAGAACAAAATATTGTATCACGATGGCTCCAGAAGCGAGCGTCTGATCAATGGGAATTTCAAGAGAATTTGAATCAAACCCAATGTGGAGTTGTATCTCCTTCTACCCTGACATATTCCTGGAGTCATCTAACAAAGCAAACATAGTTAGATACTTCTAGTTTAAAAAGAATAAATCAAAATGGTTGAAAAGTTTATAGATCACTCCCTGTTCTACAGCAATCATTTAATTTTGCCCCTTGAGAGATATTGTTGTCTCATGATCAGAGCAGCAGGCTGGGAGCCAGGATTCCTGGTTTCTATTACCAGCTTCTATTACCAACCGATTAATCCTGCCTCCTCGGACACGTGACTTAGGCCACGATTTTCACACTTGGATGCTACCTGTTGGGCAGAGAAACACAAACTTTCTGGTTTTCAGAGGTACTGAGGTTCCACGACACCTTCAGAAGAGAACTGAGACTAAACTGTATCAGAAGGGATCCAAGACTCGCCAACATACCAGACGGTGGGAAAAGGGCAAGTTTTCCCACCCCCAAAAGCATATTGGTGAAAGTATGGCACACTTCACTCCTGTATACTTAGGCCTTGCCTTTCCCAGCCTCTTTCACTCTGCCATGGATGTTACTTCTCTTCCTTGTGCTCTTTAATTTCCCTCTGTAATTCCTTGCTTCATCCCTTCCCCCATGCTACTAGATCAGAGTATAGCAAACGCCTGCTGCCTTCCCAGTCTCGTATCTCTGAGTGACCCATATCCTCTGCAAAGCTCAGAAACACTAACCAATCCTAATCTAATGTCCTAAAACATTTGAAACAGGAGTAAAAAGAATGCACAGCCTAACATTTTCAAATGCATTCAAGGGAGCTGTTATACCTAAATTGCACTGGAATTTAGTGGGAGCTGGGTGTCTTAATTCTTTTAATTACTGTATTCTAAAATAACACCTTGCACTGTCTTCCCCAGTGCATTTGCCCTATTGGGGCATGTCCATGGAAGCATTCATGTGCACTCTGCAGTGCCTCAAAATGCACCCCGTGCATGTGACTTCCACGCTGAGTCAAAATTAGATCCCGGGAAATCCTGGTACCAAAAAAAAGCATGCTGAAATAAAGCAGGGTGGCGTACATGGCAACAGCGTGCACCACCTGCTACTAGAGCCTGGCTAGCAGCCAGAGCATGGATTGCCACCGCTGTAGCCCTGGGAGGCCCCCCAGGTAAGTCTAAGGTGCTGGCCCCAGCCTCCCCTACGCCACCCGGGGCAATTTGCCCCACACCAGAGTGTGGGTGCAGGCATGTTCCCCAGGGACAAACAGTAGTGGCACAAAGGGACCTGGGGGTAATAAAAGACCACAGTATGAACATGAGCTGGCAGTGCCATGCTGTATGCACTCTGGCATGCATCAATCAGTGCATCTCCCGCAAAACCAAGGAGGTGATTCTTCCGCTCTGCTCAGCACTGGTGAGACCACAGCTGGAGTACTGCGTCCAGCTGTGGGCACCGCACTTAACAAGGACGCGGACAAGCTTGAGAGAGTCCAAAGAAGAGTCACCCGTATGATCAGAGTCCTAAAAGGCAAGCCATGCGAGGAAAGGCTGAGGGATCTGGGACTCTTCAGTCTGAAGAAAAAAAGGCTGAGAGGGGACCTGGCAGCAGCTTACCGCTACACTAGAGGAGTACAGCGAGGGCTCGGTGAGCAACTGTTCATCAAGGCATCCGAGGGGAAAACCAGGAGTAATGGCCACAAACCCCTGGAAGACCGATTCAGGCTCAACATTAGGCAAAACTTCACAGTCAGGGTGTCCAAACTGGGAAATAAGCTCCCTCCAGAGGTGGTGCAATCGCCTACCCTGGAGATCTTCAAGAGGAGACTGGACGGTCACCTTGCTGGGGTCACCTGACCCCAGTTATCTTTCCTGCTTGGTGCAGGGGGCTGGACCCGGTGATCTCCCGAGGTCCCTTCTGACCCCTTCCAATGTATGGATCTATGAGTATGTTCTGCTGCTAGTTGGCCCCGGGGAAGCACATGTGCGCGCTCGTCTGGATGTGCCCCTGGTATCTATTCTTGACATTTCTGGGAAGGGACTCGTTTTAGCTGAATAGGGCTTAGGAGATTTTTAAGGGCTTCCTAAACCAAGGGAATAAATGTTCAAAATGTTTTAAAAAATATTTTACCTACTGGCTTTTTCTTAGCCCCATTAGAGAAGACTCTAAATGGAAGAAAAGTTACGTTCCTTAGTTAATAAATTAACCCCAACCATGTTCTCATCCCTACGCAAGGCGCACACAAACTGATCCTGCCCAAACTGATTTTATTCACTTCTGAATGGACAAGCCCTCACTCTTAATTTCTGGCTCCTTCAAAGATTTCACTGAAAGCAGGAAGTCTGGCTTGAAGTTAAACTGAAATTGAAAGCACCGTTTTCAGTAAACACTGTAAATTTGAGATCCTAAAAATGTCACGTGATCGTGTTTTTTCTCTACATGGATGGATTTCACTACAGCTTTCCAAAATCAGTTAAAATGTTCGCTCCGTATACTCATCGTTTGATTTTAAATTGGCAGCCAAAGATTGAAGTAGTTAAAAAGTATAAAATCGTCTTTTTCAAACTGTTACTTTCCACTCCAGGCTTGTGAGAACTTGATTCCCTGAGAGATGTGGATTTCTGAGACAAGTGCACGGATGAGATTAAATTTATTATCTGAGGTTTAAAATAAATCATAATCATATACTGCAATAAATACAAGCAGTCTACGATAATTTTATGGACCCAACCCTAAACATACTTATGGAGGGAAATGACTTTGCACATGTAAGTAATCCCAAGGAAAGGTGTCTTTATTCTCATGCATAAATGTATGCATTGTTTGCATGACATGGGGCTATATTTGTTGTTAAAGCTAATAAAATGATCCACACATTTAGAGCTAGGAATAGGCTAATCTAGTTTTACCATCATGCTGAAGTATCGAATCACCCCAGAAAACACATTGCAGTCGTTGCAAGGAAAAGCTAGCTCTGGTTTGTAATATTCTGCCTCATTCAAAAGCTTTCCTGTGATACTTAGAACAGGGAAATTACTGGACTGGGTAAAATCTCAAAAAATGGAATAAACATTTTAAGGACCATCACCAAACACCAGAAACACCAAACTCTGGTGGTCAGGGGGCCCTGTTGGCAAGCTGCACATCAGCTGAACACAATGAACCAGGGATACGGCTCTGTTCGGTTTTCTGCAGCCAGGCATGCAAGGACCCGTATTACAGGTGAGGGCTTGTCTGGAGCTGCAACTTGAAAACTCCCTGGTTTTGCAGATCCCGCATTGAACCCAGCCGTTAGGTGCAGTCGTCTGCAGAACGATGTGATTTATACACTTCCTTCTATTTATAATATTCCACGACATTGCTTTTCCACCCATACTCTATATAGGTTCAACACTACAACTAGACGCAGACTAATTAGAAGAGAGACCGAACTTCACCTGTCCTCACATGTAGGTGCTTACCTGACTCCACTGCTTCTTTGACCATCACGGCACAGTAAGGGTTAATCACCTCCCCTTGCGATGGCAGGTAGGGGCCACTGTCATAGTTTGATAAACCAATCCGGAGAAAGGGTGACATATCAGATCCTGTATCAAGGAAAAAACAACGGTATTTGAGAGAGTCCAAAAACGGTCGCTGTTTTAAGCAGTCTCTTATCACCGCCAGCCAGGGGTAAATTGGAAGCTAGTCATCCATCCACAGAAAGGCTCTGGGACTTCCTCTTCTGTCCAGCAAGATGATGGACTACCAAAAGCCTGCAAGCAAGTGAAGTTATGAAGCTTCACTTATTGGCTTCATTGCCTAGTTTTAACCCACCACGATGTGTTTGCTGGCAATAAACCTAATGGGTACCAGCGCACCGCTGGCTCAGCACCAGCCCACGCAGACCCTGCTATCGGTACTACAAGAACCCTGCGCCGAGGAATAACTTTCCTGGGATAACCTCTTCCGCAGCTTATGTGAAGCCAAATACTCAGGAAACAGACCTCTGTGAGACTGCGCTGGGTTTCGGGAATACTGCTCTGTTGCAAGCCTGCAAGCTAAACATGACACTGTGAAATAATTAAGCGCTATTTATACACAGCATGGCAATGATCCCAGGCATTCAGATCGCTGGTTAGCTGACCCGTAATTACTTTAAGGAGAAAATTCAGCTTGTCTGAATGAGCTTATTAGGGTGTGGGTGGGGAATTTTCACAGACTAATTGGAAACTAAAAAAAAGTACTTAGAAAATGGGCCGTCAAGAAATAATATGAAAGCCGCGAGTAACATTTTTGCCCTCCTGTTGCAGGTACTCTGCAATTTGCAGTGAAAAGATGTAGGG